CCCATACTAGTAGGAATTTACTCATAAATGTGTGGGTGAAGGTTCTAAAGCAAACAAATGCAGAGATCCCATTATGAGGAACACACGGAGCTAATAACTTGCTTTCTTCTGTGGTCAGAACAGAAAAGATTGGGTTACTGCCCTCTGACTCAGGAAACATGATCCATCGAGTTCTAAAGGATTTTGAAGTAATTTTCTTCTTTACATTAGGCAAAGTAGATAAAGTCACATCACAACCACACAGTTACAGAACACAGAAAAGCAGTAATTAAATCTAATAGCATGAAATCTAGTGTTGCCAAAAAGCTTGAAAATTAGCATGAATGCTGCAATAATGTCACGCAGAGCACAGACACTCACAGCTTGCTTGTTTAGAACACGAGAGTAACAGCATTCTTACTTTCTACCTATTGCTTTAATACACACACTGATGTAAGTGAATTGACCACTGAACATTTAGTGTCAATGAAGGTCTCCCCAAATTATAGCTACTGTTTACTGTTATGCATTAGTAAATATGGCTGCTTAAGAGATGTGCTATGGCATGAATTGGTGAGTTTGCTGGCATCCCAAATACTCTCAATTAGTTGAATGTGGGTTTTTTCCCCAAAAAAACTCTGCTTTTACAGAAGAGCTATTTATGTCAGTTTTTAAATACACAAGACCAGTTTTTAAATATGTAAGACCTGAATATGTGCACATCTGCCTCAGTGGTACTAAAGAAACAGCAAGTTAGAAGGATTTATTAATACCTGAAATTCAGACAGCTTTGACCACAAATCTTCATAACATAAACTATGTGCTAAAGAAGATTGTTGCCTCTCTCTTTGGTTATGATATTAGCTATAAAAGCATTGCTCTGAGTGACAGCAAGGCATGCACAGTAATGCAGTTGCTTTCTGAACTATAAAATTAACATATTCGGGTTGTTGAACCTGCACATATATTCCTGAGCCTTCAAAACTGGTTTAACACATTCAGTAAACAGAAGGCCAGATATCTCTATAGTTAGTCCACTGATGAGCTGAGAATATGGCTTAGTTATACCACTATAAACAACATGAACAAGCTGTGTAAAAATTTTGGAGGAAGTCTTTGAACAGATTTCTCATGCAGTACTTACCAATAAATGCCTCCTTGATTTGTGAGTCTGTTAAAAAATCCTACTGCAAACTTTGAATCATAGAATCATCAAGGGTGGAAGAGACCAAGTTCAACTGTCAACCCAGAACTACCCCTGCAACCCCTAAACCATTGCTCAGCCCCAGATCCTGACAACTCTTCAACACCTCCAGGGATGGTGACTTCACCAGCTCCCTGGGCATGCTATTCCAATGCCTGACCACCCTTACAGTGAAAAATTTTTTTTCAAACATGTAATCTGAATCTCCCATGCCTGAGCTTAAGGCCATTTCCTCTTGTCCTTTCACTATAGACACGGTAGTAGAGACTAGTCCACACCTGGCTACACCCTCCTTTCAGGGAGTTGTAGAGAGTGAAGAGGTCCCCCCTCAGCCTCCTCTTCTCTAGACTAAACAAACCCAGCTCTTTCAGCTGCTCCTCACAGGACAAACTTTCTAGACCTTTCATGAGCTTTGCTGCCCTTTGCTGGATATGCTTCAGCATTTCAATTTCCTTTTTACAATGAAGGGCCAAAACTGGACACAGCACTCAAGTTGTGGCCTCACCACAGGCAAATACAGAGGGACAATCACTGCCACACTATTTCTGATACAGGCCAGGATGCCACTGGCCTTCTTGGCCACCTAGGCACATGTTGGCTCATATTAAGCCTGTTGTCAACCAGCACACCCAAGTCCCTTTCTGCTGAACAGCTCCCGAGCCACTCTGCCTTCAGCCTGTAGCACTGCATGGGGTTGCTGCAGCACAAGCACTTCACCTTACTGAACCTCGTGCAGCTGTCCTTGGCACATTGATCGAGTCTGTCCATGTCTGTCTGCAGAGCCTTCCTACCCTTGAGCAGATCAACATTCCCATCTAACTCGGTGTTGTCTGAAAATTTACTCAGGATGCACTCAATCTCCATGGGCAGATCATTAATAATGATGTTCAACAGGACTGGCCCAAATACTGAGCCCTGGGGAATACAAGTGACCAGCTGTCAACTGGACTTAGCTCCATTCCCCACCACTCTCTGGGCCTGATAACCAGCCAACTTTTTATCTATTGGACAGTCCATCCATCCATCCAAGTCCCAAGCAGACAGTTTTTCTAGGAGGATGCTGTGAAAGATGGTGAGAAATGCTTTACTGAATTCTAAATAGACAACATCCACAGCCCTTCCCTCATCTTCTCCTATGACTAAGGTCACTTAGTCATAGGAGACCAGACCAGTCAAGCAGGACCTGCCTTTCTTAAATCTGTTGTCTGGGCTTGATCCCTTGGTTGTCCTGCATGTGCCATGTAATGGCACTCAGGATGATCTCTTCCAGAGCCTTGCCCAGAGCTGAGGTCAGGCTGACAGGCTTGTAGTTCCCCAGATTATCCTTCCAACCATTCTTGTAGATGGGTGTTGTGGAACTTCTCCAGTTAAGCAGGACTGCTGATAGATTATTGAAAGTGTTTTGGCAAATACTTTTGCCAGTTCCCTTATTCCTCTGGGGTGAATCCCATCAGGGTCCACAGATCTGTGAGTGTCTAACTAGCATAGCAGGTCACTAACCATCTCGTCCTGGACTTTGTGGGCTTCACCCATCTGCCCATCAATGACTTACATCTCAGGGAGCTGGGTATCCAGAGGACAACTGATCCTGATATTACGTACCTCTGCCTTTTCCTCAACCCTTGTCACTACACAACACTCTGGCTTCAACAAATGATAGAGACACTTCTTGATCCTCCTTTTGCTGCCAATGTGTTTATAGAAACTTTTCTTGTTGTCTTTAACTGTAATGGCCAAATCAAGTTCTAGCTGGGTTTTGTTCCTTTTAATCTTCTTCCTACATGACCTTGTGACATCTATAGTCCTCCCAAGTTACCTGACCCTCCTTCCAGAGGTGATATATTCTCTTTTTTCCCCCTAAGTTCCAGCTTAAGTTCTCTGTTTAATCATGCTGGTATTGTCTTTCTACACGTGGGGACACTCTGTTCCTGAATATTTAACAATTCCTTTTTAAAGCTCATCCAGTCTTCCTGGACTTCTTTGCCCTTCAGGACTGACTTCCAAGGTACTTAGTCAATCCATGTCCTAAACTGGCCAAAGTCTGCTCACCAAAGTCCAAGGCAGAAATTTGCCCCTCCTTACTTCAGCCAGTATAGAAAACACTAACAGTTCATGGTCACTCTGCCCAAGACGGCCACTGACCATCACATCAACCACCAGTCTTTCTTTGCCCACAAACAACAGGGCCTCTCCTCTGTTAGGCTCATTTACCATTGTGTTAGTTAGAAAGCTGTCTTCCACACATTCCAGGAACCCCCTAGGCCACTTCCTCTGCTGTATTTCCAGCAGACATCTGGCAAGTTGAAGTCACCCACGAGTAAAAAGGCTGCTGACTGTGCTGCCTCTGCCAGCTGTTTGTGGAACACCTCATTAGCCTGTTCCTGGCTGGGTGGTCTCCAGCAGACTCCCACCATGACATCTGTCCTGCTGACATTCCCTGTGATCCTCACCCAGATGCATTCAACCTTGTCATCTTCATCACCGATTTCAATACAATCAAAACACTCCCTATTGTACAGTGCTATCCAACCACCTCTCCTGCTCTGCCTGTCTCTTCTGAAGAGTTTATATCCAGCCATTGCAGCATTCCCACGATGAGAGTCATCCTTCCACGTTTCTGTGATGGTGACAACATCAAAACCTTCCAGCTGAAGGAAGGTTCAATCTCCTCCTGCTTGCTGCCCACACTGTGCGTTGGTGTAGATGCATTTTAGCTGGGCCAACGGTTTGTCCCCATCACAGACCTGCCACCCTAGGTTCATCTCTAGTGATCCTCCACTTTCTGAGGTGCATTTGACTGGTACATTTGCCTCAGGGGAGGTAGAGAATGACTCTACCAGTCAATCTCTTCCTCAGATGCTCTAATGTCCCTCAACCCTTCCACCTGCCCTTTGAGTTGTATTGCTAAGCAGAGCAGGTCACTGACCTACTCACACTCACACACGTGTTCTGTTACCTTCTGATGCCAGTGCCAGGCTCTGGCACTTCCTGCAGCCTGCTTGAGCACTAACACAGATGTCTGAAGCCAAGTGACTGTGCAAATGTCTTGTGCATATCAAGTAGCCTTAAACCTGCCACAAGAAAATTAAGGATACTCTAGGTATTTATATATTCTTTAAAGACATTGAGTACCAAACAGACTGGTCTTATGCTTAAAAGATCCTGCAGAAATACCTAATACTTTCACATATAAAAGCTTCAAATTTTTAAATAAGAAGCAGATCCAGTCCCACACTCACACATGTGTTTAAAGGGTTTTAGATTATTCTACTACCTCAGGCTTTAGTATTAGTCTTGTAAGTGTGTATCAGCCTGGGAAATGAGAAGAAGCTCTAAAGTAACAGTCAACCTCACCCGAAGCTGTTACATAGCAGAAGAATTAAAGTGCTTGCTTTCCACCTTTGAAAGAAGACCTTCTACAGACTACAAACAACATCTTATTAATTTCTATTACTGACTTACTAATTCTACTATTCACTTTTCCCCAAATTAAGTACATCCCAAATGGTCACATTTGCTTTTTTGTTTGAAACAAGAAATACTTAAATGTTTTTTCTTCCTGGTCCATAATAGTCCGTATCTTTGACTTTAAAAGGCTGTAGCTTTCAGTCTTGAAAGATTCCTGTAACTGATGCAGTAAAGAGAGAATAAATCAATGTTTTTATAAATGTTTTTTATAAAAACATTAACTGAAAATATGTCTTCCAATTACTGGTTTTAATGACCAGTATTCCCTCAGGAAAAAAATCTTCTATTTGTTTTCATAGCCACAAGGGAAATACAGTTGTAATTTAGACCTTAAAAGAAAACAAGTAAATCAGAAATTATATAAAGTTTACCAATCATTCAAAGAAAGTAGTTTGCCAGAAGCCAATATTTGAAGAAAATGCTTTTTGAGCTTAGCACTATTTAGATAACTGTAACTTCCCTAGGTTTTCTTTTTACACTCTCTAGTCGTGTCAAAGGACGGAAATTTGACTTCCTGCTTCCCTCTGCAGTAGTTAATCTACAGTCCTTCTGCAGCCCCTTCAGCAGCTCCATTAACTCCCGTTTTTCCAGCTCTGCCTGCTCCAGCTCTTGACGGTGCTGTCTCTCTGCTGCCATCAGAGACCGCACATCTGACATCATTCGTGACATCTGACTCTGAAATGCAAATACAAATTTACTGTAAGAAACAAACCCTCCTCTAATGATGGTGCAATGAAGATGAACTGGCCATGCATGTAGGGCGATAGAGTCTTAGGAATAAAACCACCAAAATAATTTTTTGATAGCACAACAAATGTAAACAATTTGAGACACAATCCAGCATTCACCTTCTGGGATGGTCTTGTTCTAAAGATTCCAATATTTTTTTCAAAAATATTTTGTTTCTTACAAAGTACGATAAGAAACAGCCAAATCACCCACTTGCTGCTTTTATTTTCTATTTCAAGAATCCAAACAAAATACGGCTGTAGTTTTGTTCAGATACATTCTTCAAGGATTTAACATCAAATCCAGTAAAATAAAAACATAAACTAAAAAGTTTAAAAAAACTTTATAAAGCTTTTAAAAACTATTGCTTTAAAAATCATTGTTCTGTGATAAACCAGGATGAATAAAAGGATAGGACTGCCTTGTTTGTTACATGATGAAGTTTACTGTGAACCTTTCCAACCTTCTGACCACAGTGCAAATACCGCTGTTGGCAGTAGGGCTCTGTGTCAGCTCTGGACTAAGCCACTTCAGATAGCAATTAAAAATGGAGCTGGATGTTTAATTACATCCAGTTTGTGATGTATATTCTACATTTAGACACTGAAATGAGTTTCACATTTTTCTGTTGACAATGTTACGCACACACAGAACACGGATGGAGTACCCAGGTGAGCTCCAGTCAATCTGATAAACCACAGGAATACAGCATCCAGCCTGCTTCTCCACAGAGCTAACCTGGCAAAGCTTTGATGGTTTTGCTTCCCATACTTAATATCATTTTCCTCTGTATGAGACTTCATTTACAAAGTAAGAAACTGCTACCAGGAAAAGCAAAAAGCTAGACTGTTACGAGGGGAAAAAAAAAGGATTGTATTTACCTTTAGTTCTTCAATTTCATTTTGCAGAATACTCTCTTTTTGGACCATATGCCTTCTCTGTGAATCTAACCTTGACTCCATCTCATGTTTTGCCTCCTCCACTCTGCAGATCATTTCTGACCTAAAAAGTTTATTTCTCCTTGTTAAGTCTTGTAAGCAGAGAAAAGAATGATCTTCAAAATCCAGAAAGCCTTCTAGCAGCCAAACAGACTGAACCGATTCCCATCAAGCTCTACAGGATGCCCTTTTAGAGGCATGATTTATTAATTAGAGAGGAAAAAAAAACTGGCATAAAGAAGTGCATTGTGCCCAGGGGCACTAAAGTGCCCACGAGGAGCCTATAGAGGGACAATCATATAATATTCCTCAGGTAATTCCATGAGCTCAAGCAGGTGTATTTATGACTTTAAGTGATTTTCTGCTGTTTGACTACAGTATGTGCTCGCTAAGTGTCATGAAATAGAGGCAGCCAAGATAAAAAGTCTGAATCCTATAGTACTGCTAAACATGTAAGGAAGTGAGACAGCCTGAGTGTGTGGACATGGTAGGCACTTACAGACACAGTTTAGTGTTGGGCCTGTCAGTGCTGGATTAACTGCTGGACTCAGTTATCTTAAAGCTCTTTTCCAATCTAAATGATTTCATGGCTCTGTGTAATCTTGTTCACTTTTATGGTGGGCACTATATGCTACTATGCAGTAAACTGTTACAGCCTAGTCACTCACACAGCTCTACAGCCAAAATCAGATGGCACTACATTAACCTTTTGAGTTCAGAAACCACCTAGCAGAATCCCTTGTGTCTCATTGCATTTGAACCATATTTGAGCCTGACTTCACAGCAATGTTCAAAAGCACAACACTTAGGAGCTGAAAGATAGAAATGGGAAGGAGCATGAGGGGGGAAAAAAAATCCAACTGGAATATAATGAAAAGGGAAAGCTACAGAAACATACGTAAGAGGAAAACAAGGATGCTGGTAAAAAGAGTCACATTCACTGACTGTTAATCTAGCAGGACTTAAAAAAAAATCAAAATTAGACCCTCAGTGGTTTAATCTATCTGTACCTGCCAAAATAATTACAGATTTTTATCTTCTCGATCTGTAAAACAAAAACTAAATACAATTATTAAATAATGTGACTTTGTGTCTGTAACAGGCCAGTGGAAAAATTGAATTCCCAATTTCAGTTTTCTTAGGTTTTTTGTCATTTTAAATAGTAAGCTCGCAGTTCTGTTCAACTGCAAGTAATGGTATTTAAAGATGTATAGTAAGTGGGAAAAAAAGCCCCAACAACAGAATTAAAACAGCAAGAATTTAAAGTCTGTGCTGACACACAGTAAAATTCTGGCCAGTTAGCATCAAGTAATTAATGGACCATTTAACACATACCAGAATCCAGTGCTAGTATTTCAAAGTGCTTCATGCAGTGATTTTAAGCCAAGCCCAGCCCAACAGAGGCAGGAGAGAAAGAGAAGATTTGTACCGAAGCAGCTCCAGCTCGGTTCTCAGCTCTGCCACACAGTTGTGCTGCGTGTCCTCTGCGCTGAGGATGGTGTAGCCACAGCCGTTGGGGCACTCCCGGCTCCGGTACTCACACACCGCCAGGTGCCCGTCCAAGTTACGCCGCTCGATCTGCACGCTACAACCTGAGCACGGGACAGTGAGGCAAGACAGCCATTTACAACAAAGGCATTCTGAGTCATGCCAAACAAAAACACTCTGGAAAGGAAGCTGGGTAAAGTGGTTTCTTTAGGATATGAAATATGAAAGTTACACATATGTAGCTACTAATACAATGCTGTTAAAAGGTTTTATTAAGACACCTATCCGTTAACTGGAAATACTGAAAGGTTGGAAGGAGGTATTTTCTGTAAAGTCCTCTACTGCTGGTCTGGCATTAAATCAGCTTCAGTAATGACAATCCTGATGCCAAGCTAAGACACTAGCAGCTTGCCTGTGCTACCATCATAGATTGCAATGACCAGAATTGATAAAGAATACACATGTGTAAAAAAATATTATGCTATCAAACATAGGGAAAAGTCCAAAGATGTAGTAAAGAGAGATGTGGGTGAGATGGAATATAAACTTGTTTTCCAGATAATTTGTTGGTCTTGTACATAATGAACTAGACCATATAAATAAGTTAGAACTTCTATTTATGAACATTTAATAACTCATACAAAGACAGAAATATTTCCAAAGAAATTCTGAGATACATACTTTGAAGTTCTGTAGTGATTAAAAGTAAAATGCAAAGAATAAAAAATAAGCACTATTTAAATTATTGCTACGTTTAACACTCTAAGCTTGAAGTTTGCAGTCTTAACTTATGAAGTGAAACTTAGGAAGTTTGTAGTTTAATCTTTGAGGCTTATAAATACACACTTACATTTAATTTGAAGATAGTATCAACTTAAGAAAACTGAAACAATGGAGTATAGAAACTTCCCAACAAACCATGCCAGAAAATGACAAACGAGTTCTCTAGAAGAGCTCTATCAATAAATATAATGATTTGTAATTGAGGTACTCAAAATACACTCTATGTATTCTTGGCAAACAGTTCAAGAGATGTAAGAGCCTGCACACTCCAAACACCAGACACCCAGTGTGGTGTAAAAACATAAATCTGTAAAACACTGTAAAATACATAAATCTGTAAAACACTACTGCTTCTGTAGGAAGTAGAACAGGTGAATCAAGTATCTGCAGAAGTCACTTCTGAGAGAAATTATAACTTCTAGCAGAGCAATTCTAGTACCTTAATAATCTCATAATTAACTACAATGGCAGACTCAATATGCCCTTAACATCCTTAATTAGAAATTAAGTTTATCTAGGAACATACAACATTTCGAATGAAATCAACTGGGAAATTTTAACAGTATGTTCCTATTAAGAGGCATTTTCTTTCTCAGGAGGTGTAGCCTTGTTTTAAATAAAAACCTCAACATGAACAACTCTAACCAGAATTTAGCTTAGAATAAATCTTATTTCCAAGATATGTTCTTGTTAAAACCATGTGACAGAGTTGGCAGCTGCGCATGCACCAGCCAACCAGGTGTTTTATAAATAAATTATGACCCCTAAGTCTTCTGCAGGGGCTACTGCATTTGTTCAAACATCAGAACACACAGTCAGAACTGGAAAACAAGCTCAGAACTTGTCAGAAAGCAAAACTAATGCACTACTACATTTTCATACATTTAAAGTTCAACATATTCATTTTGGTTAGTTTTTGGATAAGAAACAGTTGCTAATCATCATGACTGCCATAAACTGATACTATAATTTGTTCAAAAACATTGCTGTGAAGAGCAGATCATGCCAAAGTTTTGAACTTCTGTTAGAAAACAATGGCCATTATTGCAGTTCTGTAGATGAGAAGATGACAAACACATTTTTTAAACAGAAAGGATTCAACTTCTTTGAATGTTACTCACCAGCATTGGAGCAAGGTATCTGACTGTACTCACACTCCCTTTCATGCCTGTCTATAGACTCCAGAGAACAAACCATTTCACAGCCATACTCTCTGTTTCTGCAATGTAGCTGAAGACGGTTTAAATCATTTTTCATATATCTACATGCAAAGAAAAGAATTTATTTTTACATCTGGGAATATTTCTGAAAAATTTGTATTTTCAGCTTTCAGGAAAAGAAATCAAGATTCTAATCTGCATTAGGAAAAACTGTGAGTAACTAGCTTAATTTAATTTTTTTAAGAACTCAACTGCCATATCAGTAAAAAACAGCTTGAAAGAAACAACATTAATGGAAAATTCAGTCTCCAAATTTAAATGTGCAAATGAAATCTTTATTTTTGAATAATTTTTAATTGTGACCTTTCGTTGGTTCAGCAGATATCATCAATAACAAACACCAGGGCTACTCATCTGCCGTTTAAGTTCTGTGTTTCTAAACATGCCAGACTAAAGGACTACAGTGAGTACAGACAAAACAATCTAAAAATTAAACTCTCGTGCTCTGTCTGTGCTGTAGTTAACTTCCAGATAGTAAAATCTCATGAATGAAAAATTACGTTGTGAGTACTAACAAAGTTAAATTTATTGTAGCTGGAGACTTTAAATACATAACTGTTAATCTGAGCAAGATTAGATAATGCAGTGTGTTAAACAGCAAGTTGTGTTTACTATTGAAAACGTTTTATGCTCACACTAGCAGGAATCAACAGTTTAAAATAGAATAGTTTGTTTGGAAAGGACCAACAACAATCTAATGGTTAACAACTGCCTGACCATTTATAGAAGACAACTGTGAAAACAGCCTGCTTTACATGACAAAGTGGTTCACATATTCCTATGTCTAAAGATCTTCTTTAAAAAGAATTTGAAGGTCAGAAATTTGGTTAATATCTCCAGGAATTGTTATTTACAAATCCCACTACGGCATCTAGCTAAGACTGAAAAGAGATATAGAGAGTGTACTGACTGTCATCTAGAGCTGCTTTGCTTGCTTTCTCTAGAATAAAGTATGGAAAAGTTTTGATCCTGTAAAGAACATTCAGAATAATATCCAGAATCAGCATTCAAGATACAAAAAGATGGAGAACAAACTAAATGTTCTTTCAGTTTTGAAATCCTAATACTCTAAAAGTTAGTTATAATAAATAGAAAATGCTAATGCTTCCATGTAAGTAGTTGGTGTCTGTCACGGGCATACTGGATAAAGACAGTCTCAGTGACAGTATTGATAGGAGATGAATGAAGCTGTGTGTCTTGGAGTGACTTTATGATACTTATATCCCCCAAATCGTCTGTTCTGTTAGTTGAATATTTAAATCCTACAGCTTAGACTAGCTAAGACTAGTTCCTGGAGTGAAAAGGGGGAGAAGAAGTGCAAAGTTTTGTTATCAGAGTCTGCACCCGGCTCCCCCGCATCCTTCTCACAGACTGTGCTGTCTGCAGTGAACAGCGGGAGAGGGCTCTTTTTGCTTTTGGCTGGTTTTCTGACTAACTAAGACAAAAAAGTTCCCTGGACTGCAGTTTAGATTTTTTTTCCTCTTTTCCCTTTTTCTTGGAATTGTTTGAATCTGCTCTGGACTTAAAACCCTGAGAGCACCGGGACCTTGCATCTGTGGCCCACCAGGCCTGGGCCATGGCATTTCCCAGCACCAGAACTGAGACCAGACCGAATGAGCTGGGCTGCAACCCATGGAAAAACTCTTCTGAATCTGTCATCTCTTCGAAGTGGCAAGAGGTTTCCTCCCAAATTTGCCCTAAACCAAGACACTGTGCAAGCAAAACTGAGAAATCCTAAATTCATGTAATTTCAACACACAGCAGGATTATTGGATACCTGTAGAGAGGTCGTAGCAGAGACACATCAATCACTTGTCTGTCTTCAGGGCAGTTACTGTGATGAACAAGCCAGCCATGGATGCAGGCAGTGCAGAAAGCGTGCTCGCAGGGAGCCTGCAGTGGATCTTCTAACACGTCTCGGCAGATGGAGCACAGCAGCCCCTCGTTAACATAGCCCACGAAGCGCTCGATATCATAACCCATGCTCTCCTCACCTTCAACCTATTCAAAAACCCCAAGCACACAGAAATAAAGCAATCTTTGTGCTGAATCTCTATGGGTAGATCCACAACGAGGCCTGATCTAAAAACATGGAGACCTTAATGTGAATAAAGATGTGAATGTGTGAATGCAAATAAACATCTATACACTTTGGAGGCTTTCAGATTTAAGTGGGAATTTGAGAACTGTACTGATGGATGTCAGAATCACAATGTTCTATAAAGATATTCTGAACTCTGAAAGCAAAGACTTTGGCACAGTTGAGCTGTGCTTCTTCTGAGTGTCGTTCCTGAATATTATTGTAGCAGCTACTGTGAAACATACAGTTTCTATTTACATAAATTCTATCTGAAGCAGAAACATCACAGTTCAAATGCAAATGTTTGCTTTCCATTTTAATACCTTTCATGTAATGCCTAACAAACTTAAAAACAGTGTTCTTACCGACAATAGCTGTGGCAGTTTCAGCTAGCAGATCCTGGATTTATGAACTGCACATCACTTAAGATGTTGCTTTCATACTGAAAAAAAGACTCTCTACTCACTGTAGACCTCCATTTCAGAGGGAACAGTATGAAATCTCCACATGCCTAAAGACATACTTAATATTCAGGAAGTAAAAGAAGCCAAAACTGCAGCTAACCCTGAAATCATGAAGAGCTACTGTCTTTTCCTACATGATCTATTTTATAAAACTGAGAAGCTTTTGAACGGATTTCAAAGCTTTGTGAAGAACTAATGGGCAATCTGCCTTCATCTAAATCCTATCATAAAAATCCTCGTGGAATTTGGTAAGACTCCATAGAACTCGCTCAAAAGAGTAAGTTTTAGGCTCCACATCACTCTTTGGCATACAAAGTTACTTTTGTAAATACAGAGACTCGTGAAAGAGGTTTTTATTAATTGCAAGGTTTTCTAAATAAAATAGAAAAGGAAGATATCTTACCTTTGTAGATTTTACTACATATATATGTAGTTTGCCCGAATACTTCAGAAACAGTTTTCTGATCAGTAAGGCATGTAATACTTCCTTCAGTTTCTCTTCACTGCTTTACTATGCCTATGAGAAAAATTAGAGAGTAAGGCTCAGTAGTGTTTCCTAAGTTACTGAGTCCTATGTCTAACACGCCAGCTACTGGATAGATGCTGTCCTAACAGCCCATTAAAACCAGGTTTTCGAGGGCAAGACTCTGAAAACCTACAATTCAACACATGAGAACTGACTAGATTACAGTGAAAATAAGATCAGTCTCTGTTTCAATTATTATTGATGCAGGTATTTATCATAAAACAGAACACCCTGCTGATAATCAACTTTGAAGCCTGTTTTGTTTGTAAGACTGAAGACAACAGAATTCAGTATTACTGAAAAGTAGCAATTGAAATCTGGTAAAATTGTATTTCTCAAAAAGATGGAAGTTTCTTATCTACCTGTTCTTACCCAGTCATGAGAGGCAGTTTGTTTTAAAAACGAAACTATTACAGTCAAATTTGTTGTATTGACAAATACCATTGCTGTGATATGCAGCATAACTAGGGTTGCTCATTTAAAAAAATCATAAAATATGTCATTACTTAAACCCCTTAAGTTATGCTAGAAGACTTAAACAGCACATATAGATTTGATAATATGAACTGTAAGCCAGTTTGATTTGGTTTGGTGGATCCCAGAGGATTCTGCTTTTAGAAAACTTTCAAGGACAGATAAGGGAGCAAAACTAACTACTTTTAGTGTCCTAGAGTTTCTGTTCTACTGGAATTGTGGATGCTGTGAGCTACATTTTGTACAAACACTGCTAGTCTCTGAGGACCAAGTCTTCAAGACACTCTTCAGCATATTTTAGCAAGTTTGAAGACTAACAGAATGCAGCAAAGGGTATTTTTATCAAATGGGGAACAAACACTTTATTTGTGCTTAACACAGAAATGAAGTGCAACAGCAACAACAAAATATATATACTATATACATATGCCTCTGTATATAAAGACATACGGATGTATAAAGTCCCAGCCATATTGGAGTTCAAATGAAGAGTGGATGGGAACTTTGAGGCAAAAAATACAATCAAGGGGGATTCTTCAGCGCATTTTCAAGATGCATGTTGGAGCAGCACAACACAGCACTGGAACCCTTGTGGCCATGGATCTGGGACCTATGATAACAGCTGTTATTGAAGTCACAGACCTTTTCCAGTAGAAGTTTCCTGACTTGAACAACCAGAGAGGTTTTATTTTCTTGTCAACTTCAAGAGATGCATCTTAGTCAAGAGATAAGCAGAGGGAGAGCATCTGATGAATGTCATGTACTTCAGCAGTACAGATCACTTTATCCAGTATCTTCACCACAAAATGAGATAATTTTCTGCTTATCCCCAGAAACTTCTCTCTTCTCCATTTGGCCTCAAAACTTATTTTCCCAATTCTACTACAATTCACGTAATACAATTGTAACACTCCTTTTTTGATTACACCTAGAAATCACATTATTTTGCTGAGAGACGTCAGTTGCTTAGCTTAAGCAAGTAACTTTTAAATAGAATAAGTCACTTAGAATTATAATACTGTGTGATTTAGAATGCTGTTTGCTTATACCTACTTGCTTAGCATATGTAGCTTGGGTTGCTGCAAGCCTAGGCTGAAAGCTGTGGACTTTTGCCTAGACATGCTTTCGGCTGGAACTGAGTTAATTTCCTTAGCAATTTTCCCAGTAGCTGCTACAGAGTTGCATTCTGCCTTCAGAATGAGAAGAATGCTGCCAACACACCAATGTTTTAGCTGTTGCTAAGTAATGTTTATACTAAGCCTAGGACTTTATTCTAGTTTCCCATGCTCTCCTGGGGAGCAGGTGCAAAAGTAGCACAAACCAGAAGATAAGGAGCTCATGGTCATCAGCAGAAGCTGCAACCCAAGATAAGAACAGTTAATAGCCTGCCTCCATGGACATGGAGAGAGAATCCAATAAGCTGTTAGAAAACTTCGGACCAAAAATCACCACTGGACTAAAAGGGCCATGTGAAGAGCATGTAGGGAAGGATGCATAAATTGTAAAGGTATCATTGTGCAGGCATTTCTTTGTTTGGGAGAGAAAGTACACAAACTATGACGTGCTATTTGCTACTTATTGTTTCACGTGTTTTATTTTTCCTGCAGTTCTGGACAAGAAACGATCTCCTCCAGACTTCACAGGTATCAAGCAATTTTTCAACAGTTATTATCCCACCTTGTCTGCCCTGCAGATGCACATCCAAAACCAGCCTTGAGTTGTGGACTTCACTGCCCTCAGAGATTTGGTGAGGATATGATAACAGGGAGAATACAGGTGGGATGTAGCTCCCAACATCATCAAATAGCTTTCTAATCGTCTAGCATTAATCAAAGCTATTCCACTGTGAAAGTCAGGACACTGAAATGAAATTAATGATCTTCATTTTTTCATCTGCAGTAGCTTCTGTTTTTTAAAAAATGCTTCTTTTCCGTGTGACAAAACAAAGCATAACTGTTTGAAAGGCTGGAGTGAACCACGACAGAACTACAGATGTGCATGGCTAAGACAGCATTTTCAGAAATGCTGGAGGAAGAGAGTCTATGCAGGGCCCAGGGATGAGGTGACACTGAGACAGGACATTTCTTTAGTCTTTATTTTCACAAAGACATACTGTGCTTTAAATCCTGCTATACAGAAGCAATATTTTATGCTTTTTGCCACTCTGACACTGTAAGTCACTTCAAGCCAACATCAATGTCCAAAGGGGCAACTTCCCCCTTCAACTGTGATTGTACAAGTGGTTTCTCAGGCACTTGATGCATCACTCTCAGTAACTGACCTGTTTTAAGACTGAATTGGGGAAAAAAAAATAACTTTGGCAGTTTTCTTACAGTAGCCTAAGCCTATTTAACCACAAATTAATGTGCTCCCCACCTCCCTCCACCTCTTCTTTTGAGTCAGTGAGAACATTTAATTCGCCACTTTCCTGAACTGGTTCATGCAACTCACCATACAGACAACTATGCCCTGATTTTGTTAGGCTAGAATTTCTTGTAGATGGCTCAGCAAAAGCTCTAGAAACTGCTTAAGCAAGGCATGACCAGGGATAAGAAACTGCAGCCAGGGCAGAAAGGGAAGAAAGAGAGACAGCAGCAGTCCATGGTCCAGGATGCCACAGAGCTACTCCCTCAGCTCAGCTCTCCAGACTGGTACATTGGAGAGTCTGATGAACATTTGTGTGCAAAAAAAGGAACAGAGGAGGGTAAGAATAAATGAACAGCAACATCACCTTACACTGATGTAAACAACCGATTTTTTTCAAAAAAAGCTTATATAAAAAATACGAGACCATTTAAGGCCTCTACTAAGGACTACATAACTACTACAGCTATTCTTACAAAGAACATTTTTGTACAACACTTGCTGTCCTGCAAAACCTACTCAGAACAGTGCCATCCATGACCTGCCTTGCACAGACCAGAGTTCAGAGCAGGGCAGTGGAGTTGGTGAAGGATCTGCAGCACAAGTCCTATGAGAAGCAGCTGAGAGAGCTGGGGTTATTTAGCCTAAAGAAAAAGAGCTTCACAGGGGACCCTATGGGTCCACTTGAAAGGAGACTGTAGCCAGGTGAAGGTTGGTCTCTTCTCCCAGGCGACCAGCGACAGGATGAGAGGACATCGCCTCACGCTGTGCCGGGGGTTGGGTTTCAGGCTGGACAGCAAGTATTTCTTCACAGAAAGGGCGGTCAGCCATTGGAATGGGCTTGGTGATCTCAGAGGTGTTTTCCAACCTATTTAACTCTGTGACCACCTTCGAGGGTCAGGCTCTGCCACCCCGAGCCAAGAACAGGGTGAAAGGAGCATTCTTCCCTCGGAGCTGTGGGAGGAGGAATTTTAGCCAGGTAACGGGAAAGGCCTCCGGATTCGGTCTGGGAAGGCGCTTCAGGGAGGGACAATGATTCTGGTCACAGAGCACAGATCTGGCCTGGAAACATCTGGAGAAGCGACCCGACACCAAGGCACAGCACCTGCGCGGCCTCAGGCAGCGACAAACACCCTTACAGCTGCACACACCCTTCCCGCTCTCTTCCCACACACCAACGACGATGCCGCCGCCAGCACAGCACAGGGCCCTGACAAATGCTGCGGACAAACTCCGCGCAGCCCCTCGTTCCCCAGGCCCAGCCCCGCCCGGGCCCTGCTGCCCCCGCTCGCCCCTCGCCCCCGGTCCGCTCGGGGCTGCGGCCCCGCTCACTCACCCCGCCCGCCGCCGCTGGCTGTCGCGCAGCCGAGGCTCCCTTTGCGGCCGCTCCCGCTTGACGGCGGCGCGGCGAGCAGCCGCTCCGCCATGCTGTGTGTGGCAGAGGCGCCCCGAGCCGGCACTGCGCATGCGCATGAAAGAGCCCCCCCCGAGGGCGGGAAGCGCCTTTCCAGTGGCACGACCCCGGCACATGCGCGCCCGGCGGGGAGCGAAGGCTGCGCAGAGCGCATGTGCAGTGCGGCCGCTGGGGCTGCCGGGAGAGCGCGGCGGGACAATTGAGCGCGGAGGCGGGACCGGTGGCGGCAGCGCAGGTACGGGAGCCATGGGAGGGGTGGTCCGGTGGAGATGACCCTGGGAAACACCCTACAGTTATGTAGTTCCAACTCTCCTGCCGTGGGCAGAGACATATTTCAGTAGATCAGGTTGCTCAGAGCTTCATTTAGCCTGGCCTTGAGCGATGCGGCAGCTTCAAATTCTCTGAGCAACCTGTTCCAGTGCCTCACCATCCTCAGAGTGAAGAATTTCTGCCTTACATGTGATGTAAACTCGCTCTCTCAGTTTGAAGCCATTCCCCCTAGTCCTATTACTACATGCTCTTGTAAAAATTCCTTACAATTACTTCTGATTGGATACGATTTTTCAGTAATGTTGAAGTTCAAGGCGATGCACTCGCTGCCTGCAATTTGACCGAGTAGAAGCTGATGCTGTGTCACGTCTCTGCAGCTGCCCACAGCCCCTGTTCTGCCTCCCCATCTGTGCCGGCAGTGCTTCTTCAAACACTCCGGGAGCAGCCTGTAAAGTTTGGGCCGAGATGAACATTGTAGCAGCCTTTGGCAGAGCTCCGTGCACGCTATGTTGAGCTGGATGTGTAAAATCTCGAAACATTCTTTATATGTGTATTTAATTTATAATGCAGCTAATAACGTACCTTTAAGGATAAAAGTGCAACCAGAATTCAATGCCTGACAAACCAGAGTCACCCATGAGACGGTTTGGGCTGTGGTTTCGTGGTGCCCTGGGTTTGGTCATGCCTGGTTGCTAATAAAAGCTAGGAGCAGTGCATTGCTTTTTGCATTGCTTGCAGCTGTTTCTGTGCAGCCAGACCTAACAGTAAGGCAAATACAAGGTTCCCTGGTGTATCGGTGCTGTCTCTGAAGAAAGGGCTTATTTGCATATTCTTTCATTTAGTTGTAGTCTGGAGCTGTTCCTTGCCTTGCTACACTCACTTTGATCTTATCCGAAACATCTGGCATCGGTGGTTTATTGAACATTCCTGATGTTGTATTTCTATTGTGTAGTAGTGTTAAGGGTCAAAATGTAAACATTTTGGTTATTATTTTTTAACATATTTTGTTATATTTTATGAAAGCTTGTATTTTAAAAGACATATATGTATTTCTGGATGCAATATGAAATTTTAAAACCCACAAACCCATAAGGATTTTTGTAGTTGCAAGTAGGTAATACTGGTAACGGTGAAGTTACTGAGTTATCGAGGGTATTGTCTTCAAATGTCTTAGTAATTTTCAAAGCTCCTAATGAGTCTGCTTTTGTGGTTTAAGACCAAGTGACAACACAATGACGAAATGGATTTGGAAACCAGAGTACCTTAATCATGGATATGTGCAATTTATGAATTGTGCAGCTTCTCTATCCCACAGAACCTCAAGTGCAGTGGGCAGGGTTAGTGTAGTACTGTGGCCATGCTGTGCACAGTCCTCATGCAGAGCCTGGGCTGTCCTGTGTTGTCTTCCCAAGAGTCACTGTGCAGTGTAGGGTTGGGTAGAGAACTTGTTCAGATTCACATGACACCTGAAGCCGGCTCTACTCAGCGCTGGCACTTGCAGTCTCTCCCCTGGAAGGTTCTGAACACCTTTTGCAGTGTTCACAGTGGCTTTTCATGCTACAGATACTCCTGTTATAATAACCAAGCTACTCACTTATTGCACAGGGTTAACTAAAATTCATTTGCTGTTGCTGTTGTCAGGTAAGCCTAACTTAAGTGAACTGCTGTAGACAAAGAGGCTTCTTTCCTTGTATTTTTAATAACAGCCACAGTGGAAGTGACAACAGTTGAGGCCATTTTGCCCCTGAGATTTATGTCTAGTGTATATAGCATCATATATATGCTAATTGTGCAGATATGGCAGAGAGAGCAGTATTCCTGCTACCAGTCTCTGCATGTTTGCAAAATGTTTTGGCAGTGCTCTATTACTACTTCAGTGCAAACCTTGGAAAGAATGGTGGTTGTGCCCAAGGAAGCCACTG